TAGAATGAAATGCATCAAAAGTTCAGATTCAATTTTGCTGCTAGCTTTTAATTAGATGTAGAACGTGATAAATGTGCAGAATATAAGTGAATTTGACAACATAGTAATGACTCTAGTTGCTGTAAAGAACTCGTCCATAAATATCTAGGATTTAAAGCTTTATGATTAACATATAATATTACTTTTGTAATAGCGGTGAGTGTTAATGAATCTTAAGGAACTAAAAAAGAACCATGCAAATTAATAAAAATCAAAATTCGTCTTACATTATGCTTATCTGAATTCTAGTAAAAGATTGAATATATTTGTATTAAACGGTGCAAACTACTATGATGATATTAATATTATTCAATTCTGAAATGAACGTTTTGGCATTTCTAATTGTATGTCTGTGCTTAGCCCCTACAACACTTAAATGTCATCTTTAAATTTAATATCAAAAGAACAAATGCAGCCTACTATTTAGTCCACAAATGTCATTTTATCCCATCCTAAACAAGCTTATATGACGACCATCAACCTGTCACATTAAAAGTCAATAAAATAGACAAAATGAACAAAATTTAAATGCAATTCTTTCGTAAAGAATGCAATAAAATGAAGAACCAAAAAATTAAATAGTTAATATAAGCACAAATATACACACATATACTTTTTTGCACATGCCGTGAATATTGAAATTGAAATTTTTTTCAAAAAAAATTGAGGCACAAAAAGAAGAATCAGCAAAAAAGCTGAAGAAGGAAAACTGTCTGAATAAGCAGAAAAATTATTTATCTTGGCACGAAATCTTCAGATATTCATTATAACTTCATAAAAAGAAACTTTTTTTATTCAGCCATGTTACCATTCTTCCCAAAATTAAACTAAAATCTTCTCCTTCCTCATTTATGGAAGTAGAAGTTCTTTTTATGCAAAGTAAATCATGCAAGAAAATAATATTAAAACATAGGCTGGAAAACTGAGAGTTACGAAAATAAAAATTGACCTTGAAACGATGTGCAAAGTCTCGAATGAAAAAAAAATTGAGAAGTTAAAAAAAAATGTAAAGAAATGAGTGTGTGGAAAAAATGGTTCTTTCGTATATTCCTTGTACATCATTCGTTCTCTCCATTTCTTTTCAACATTCAGTTGTGTTTGTTCATGTACATACATTATTGTATGATGGCTTTAATAAGTCAAATCTTATGATCATCATGTTCTGTTCTTTTATGTTCATAATATAAACAACGAGAACTTCTCATGTTATATTTCGTTTATGCTGCTACCACACTCACTCTCTCTAGTTTTAATTCTTTTTCTTTTCATTCTACACTCATTGTTGTTATTATTACGATTTAGCTACAATGTTGTACTTGCATCAATCTCGCGCGTATAACTCCTATTACATATTTGTTTACTATACTAAGAAGGTGATCTAATAGCATAATATGATACTAACGCAAATTACTTATAAATTAGAACTACTAGCTAATGCCACACATGATCAAATGGAATTGGAGCCACATTACATGAATTTATTTTAGAAGCTAATAAAATAATTCCAAAAAATAAAATTAGTTGAAAATATTTGTACAGGAATTATCGAACATATCAAAACATCCCTTATTATTATAAAATATTCAAAGTATCTTGTGATGAAATATTAAGAAAATAAATGTAAAATTGACACAATTTGAGTCCAGAATCCCAAACAACTTGCCTTTTTGGTGCTAAAACTTTTGGTCATTCAAAAATCAACCAAACTTGGTCAGTAGAACACGAATAAATTATTATTGTCTAATTCTTAAAGTCAGTTTGTTAAACATTGTATTGGATAAACTAGCCTAGCCACTGCATTGTAAGATCTCTACAACACATGATCTCCAAGACTGATTCAGAAGATATTGAACAGAAACCTATTAATTGCAACAATCAAACCGTGTCGTCCAACAAGCTTTTCTTGCAAATTAAATCATACACTGAGTCTAGAATGTAGCAGGTATTAAAACAAGAAATAATAAGTTAAAAAGATAAAAAGATTCTCTCAAATCACCGGTTGTGAAGAAGCAAACGAAAGCTCAATTTTGTATAGTGTTGCACTAAGCTTATTACTATTTTCTTCTTCATTCAAGTGAAGAAAAGCAAGAACATTTAAGAATAAAAGTAAACTGATGTTGAAATAACCTTGAAAAGCAGCACCAACATTGTAAAAAAATAACTTTAACCACTGATTCTCCTTCTACATCACAATTTCGCTTTACAAAATGAAAACGAGTTTTCTTGTCGTGATAGGCAGCGAGGCTTAGCAGAAAAAAAAAATCATTATTTCAATTTCATCTTGTCATTTTTTTTCCACAAAGGTTATTAAATGTGTCTCTTTTGTAGAATAGAATATTCTAATAATGATTAACATTGTTAACACTACTATTAGAGACGGGGGGAATCACATCACTTTTAAATAAAGTGCAAATTAAATATTTTCTTTTATCTGATCGCCTTGCCAAATGTTAAGAGCAGCATTAATCAAAGACGATATTATCATATATTAAAAATTATCCGGTAGAATATGTTGAAGCTGGCAAGTTGTGCAATCGTCGTATAAATTCAAATAACACACAAAAATAAAAGGTTAAAAATTGAATAAATTAGAAGAGGAAAAAAGATTATCGAGAATGTCATTTATGGCAAGGAAAAGAATAAATATATTGGAGTGATGTAAGTTGCGGAAGTATGACTCGTTTATTTTTGGCACAGAAACATTATTCTTCTTTTTTGGGTTGACCGAAAGAGTCTTAAGAACAAGCCGTTTCTTTCCTTGTTGCAAAAAAATTCTTAAATGTCAAAGCTACTTTTTAATTTAAAAATTGATTTATTGTCACGATTTTGATGAAAAATTGTTTTCAATATGCGAGAAATGAATTTATCTGGGTAGGAATTGATGAGTTGGTATGGTATACATGTACATGCTACTAATAAATGAAGAAGAAGTCAGCAGCCGAAGATGATTTAGTGCCAGAAATGTTTGTTTTATTTTTAAAATCGGCAATCATCATCATTAGAAATAATTTTTTCATATATTATATATTCGTAAATTTTCCCAATCATCCTTTTACTCATCGAATACTTCATGTTATAAATTGCTCTTAGCAATTCCTCGTAGCTAACCAGCATGTATGTTTTGTACGCAAGTATGTTGTAGGCTAATCAAATAATTACATTACATTATATCATCCCAAAAGAAATAGGATAAAACAAATTATTAATGAGTTTTAGTGGGTGTCATTGACATGGAAGTAATTTTCTTCTTCTAATATTATTATGGAAGCAGGAAATTCAAATTCCTTACAGTGCATGGCGCAATTCTTTCTTCTTATTAATTCATTCGAATATTTCTCAACATAAAGTTCCTTATTACCTATGTTTCTTTTATGATCACTTTCGGCTTTTATTTTTTTTTCTTCAAAAAAAAACTCTTTTTTTTTGAGGAGAAAATCGAGGCTAAAGAGAAAGTGAGAAATCAGTCGAAAGACGAAGAAAAAATGATTTTTTTTTGTACAACTACCTATTAAAATTTAACTTTAATTTTGTCGATAGTTTTATATGGGGAGCATACTTTATCAACATAAATCTCAGGATAAATATTGCATCACATTTGCAAAGAACAATTTATCAATATTATTGTGTAAATTTAATTCAAATTAAATAGGCATTTTCATGTTTCGTACTCACCATTAGGATCCATAACTTTTTTATGTTTTGTTTTTGCTTGCGCTGATTTTTTTATAATATTTTTTCTTCCTCTTTCTATTTTGTATTTAACTTTACTTTTTAGATGCGTTTTTTGCACTTCATCAAATGTTTACCATGTAAATAACACAACAGATATTTGTGCTTATTTTGTGCATTTTGTATATATTTTAAATTTACTATTTTTTAAATTGTTTTTCCAATCTTTTTCTCCTTAAGAAAAAAAATTTCACTTTCAGAAAAAAATTCCGATACAATTTCTCACTTTTCTTACGAGTTAACTATCATAATCCATGTGTATTTTATACATCTTTCTCTTATCTATCCATTCTAGTTTGATTTTTTTGATTATATTGTGAAAAAACTTAATATTTTTATTTTCTTTTTTAAAGAAGATTTTTTTTAAATTCTTTAAAACCTTACTATGTTGTACGATTTTGTGCCCAAAACGATTTTGAATACTTTTTGAACGTTGACTAATGTAGGAAATAAAACTAAGTAAGCACATAAGGGAGGTGAGCTACTTATGCATATCCACACCTATAGTGTGCTCCTTTTCTTAAAATACTATGATATATTGTTTATTTACCATTTAGGTAATAATAGTTCAGCAATATTATCAATATCAATATCGTGTTACATCTTTAATCATAATAATAAGTCTATAGCGTTGTCAATCCATTACTACACGCTTTTTTCTAAGTAAAATAATTGATAATGAAGGCTTTTGGTCCATTCAGATGTTGTTGTTTGGCCCTTAAAATGTTAATTTTAATATTAAACACTTACCTGCATCTTGCTTCATTGACGACTCAAGCCGAAATAAAGTTTCGCTTTAAAAAATTTAAATTTGCCTTACAAAGACTATGCAGCTATGAATTTGCTTCAATTTAAATTTCAATTTTAGAAAACCGTTACAAAACCGTTAAAGCTTATTTTAATTGTAGCTTCCTAAAAACCACTTGACACAACATTAATGTTATTGATTTATTAATAAAACTCTCAAATTAAATGGTGTGAATATCAGAAATTATTTCAATGATATTTTGATCTCAAAATTTTACTGTTTATTATTTTCAAGTTTTTGTTCAAGCTGAAAAATTATCGATAATTATCCTTAAAAGAACCAAAACAGGTTGATATTGAGTATATTCATAGTTTAATGTAAATAGACTTTGATCCGAACAGAACTGTATCCGATTAAAACATCACTTATTGTACGGTTTTTCTTCATTTTCCTTTAATAGTGAAAAAATAGAAAATTTATTAAAATGACGATAATAGAGGGAAATGTTGATGCATCCGAGCAGTGCGTAGATTTAGCCAGCAAAGAAATATCCAATGGCAATCTAGAGAAGGCAGAGAAACTACTTGTTAAAGCTTTAAAATTATATCCAACAAATAAGAAGGCAGAATTAATTTTGGAAAAATTAAAGGCAGGCAAGTTCAACGATAGATCACAAGCCAAAGGCACTACAAAGACAACAACTGATGGATTACATCAAAGAAGAAGACCAACAACTGCTCCAAAAGTTGAAGAACCAAAATTAGGCGAAGATTATACGCAAGAACAATTGGAAACTGTTCAAAAGATAAAGAAGTAAGTTTGTTGTGAAATTCGACATGATAATGACCACGTAAGGTCATACCTAATGTTTTATGTCCAATTTCTACAGATGTAAGGATTATTATGAAGTTTTGGGAATTACAAAAGAATCCACAGATTCAGAGATTAAAAAGGCATACAAAAAATTAGCCTTGCAATTACATCCAGATAAGAATAAGGCACCAGGTAATTTAATTAATTATTCAAAACAGCTCTTTAAATATTTACTCTCATTTATTATGGCTAATTAGGGTCGGTTGAGGCATTTAAAGCTATTGGAAACGCAGTTGCTGTTTTAACTGATGCTGAAAAGAGAAAGAATTATGACTTGTATGGCAAGGACGAGCAGAGTATTCGTCGTACAAACAGCTTTAATACATACAATGGATTTAGGACACATGAATATGCATACGCAAGAGGTTTCGAATCAGAATTTACAGCAGAAGAGCTGTTTAACATGTTCTTTGGTGGTGGATTTCCCCAACAAGCAACTCAGACACGTTATCGTCGATATCAACATCATAATGAAGCCCAATCAGTGAGTCGATATTGTTTATTGAATATTCTGTGTCACGTGAATTGTTCATTAATTGGATATACGTGTTTCTCTTCTTCTAGGGACAATCAAGTCTTGCTTTCGGTTTAATTCTCTTATTTATTATCGTTTCAATGTTATCAACTTTCTTTCAATCTGATCCCATGTATAACTTATCACCAAGCTCGTAAGTGCTCTATTTCTTTGAAAACTATCAATGAATTTCTAAAGATAAGGCATGCATGTTATATTACAGTAAATATCCAGTTGAACGAAAAACACTCAATCATCGTATACCTTACTATGTAAAGGAGAACTTTGGTACTGAGTATCAAGGATCGTTAGGAAGGCTAGAAAGTGCAGTCGAGGAAGAGTATATATTGAATATGAAGCGAGCGTGCTTTAGTGAAAAGAACTATCGTAAGATACATTTAATATTATAAAGCAAGACATTTTTATTGTTTTATTGATATTTTTCATAGGAGAAGCAATGATGTCAAGGGCACGAAGTTTCGGAAGTAGGACTCAATATGCTCAAGCTCAAGCGCTAAAAACGCCTTCATGCGATGCGCTTTATAGGTTCGACATACGAGTTTAGTTTGCATATGTGCAATAAATAATAATTGAATATATTGCAGGCTGGGAGTCTCGGGTAGAACGGCATACTAGAAAGATTACCTTGATCTCAATATATTGTTTTTTATTTAAATTCTTCTTTATTGCATTACTCGTAAATCACCGAGATTTTAGACTATTCCCTTTATTTCCAAGATATGTTTTATCTTCTTCTCTTTGTTATGGCTTGATATATTTTATGTGTTAGTATCCTTAATAAATTAATCACGAAAGTTTATTGAAATCCTATTTAACGGTTTTATATTTTAAATTTTGAATTAAGTTTGAACCCTGAATGAAAAAGTTGCTTTCCCCATATTTTTCAGTCCAATTTTTTTTGAGGAATTATCATTAATTATGGCAGTTCCGGATGGTATATCAGGACAACAGAGGCGAGTCCTTGAACTTAGAGCTGAGTTCTTAAAGAAGTCGTTAAATCCATATCGACATGCTACAATGGAAGGTGGTCACGTCGTAAGTAAAATAATATTACGATTAGATAATTCCTTCTCTATGAAAAATTGTTTACATCCAATCACTTCCAGTTCGATCCAGCATTTTACCGATTCCAAGCTATGCGTTCGACACAATGGGACAATTTTAAAGCAACACCAAAAAATTTCAAATTTGGATTCTTAGCTGTCGTTTTGCCTGTTGGATTATTCTATTATTTAATTAAAAACGAGAGAGACACAAAGGAGGAAAAATTCAGAACAGGTCAAGTTGCATATAAAGATCGCAGCTTCAAGTTTATCTAAATTCATTTATCTAGTGTACTGCAAAATATATAGAAGTTCAATTTCTTGAATAAAAAAAACCAGCAAATGTCTAATGATTATAAATAAGAGAATTTATTGAATGTCATGCTTAGTCCAACTGCTTATCACGGCAAATAACGTAATCTTCAAATTTGCACATATATGTTGTTCCTTTATGATAATGTGCGGTGACTTTACATGGAAATCCAGAGAGTGTTAAGAAAGATTCAATAATTCCAGCCACAAAAATCGATGGATTTAAAGATCCTTTATCCTTTGGAACTGATATATACTTATTAATTACTGCATCTGTCTCAATTATATAGTATGTCTTTTCATCATCATTTGCATGTTCCAACTTGTCAATCTCTTTGCCAAAAAGTGTCTGAAAAAGAGTATATAGTCATTACTGGATGTTTTATTTGATATTCTGAATCTTTTACCTTCCACAAAGTAGTTTTGATGAATAGAAGCATATTAATCAGCTTGGTTTCTCTTTTGGAATTCTTCTCCCTGAATACATAAAGATCTAATAGCCTAGATCCAACATCCATACCCAATTTATGAAGTTTATCACTCAAATCAGCAACAGAATTACAATTTTTCTGTGAATATTGAACTATTTCCGAGAATAATAGAGCAAAAATGCTTAAAGATACTTCCGATTTTCCTTTATTAATTGCTTTATCCAGCACAGAACTTTTAGGTCTTAGATTAGCTAGATTCATGATTAATTAATTATTTTTTATTTTTTGAAAATTTTATTTGTTTTTTTTTTGTTGTAAACACGGGGCATGCAACTTTTTCAAAACAAAGACGGTAAAAAAAGGTGTAAAAATCAAAAAAACCAAAAAACTTAATTAAACAATAAAATAATATGGATCACGTATATCCAACAAAAGATTATACTGAATATGTGATTAAGGAATCGATGAATGATCTAAAAGACTTGGTTATTAACAGTGAAATGCCAAAAACATTCGATGAAATCGCTGAAACATTAAATATCACAGAAGAAGAACTAAGATACAAGTCATTAGAGATATGCAAGCTATATGAGGATTATGGAAAGGACAAGGCATGTGATTCTGGTGATGAATTTTCCGATTTCTCTGAAGATGCATTGGAGCTTAATTGTGTTAAATTTTTGAGGAAGGAAAGCTTGCATTTTAAGGATGTAAGATATAAGGAAAGCAATTTGATGACGAAAAGAAAGGAAGTAGATATTGAGAATGCAGACATGGAAGCATATAGTGACTCAATTATTTCAATTAGATTTTATGATTCATTTAAGTATACGCCATGTGTAAAAAATCATCCACGATTTAACAACGAATATACAGTATTAGGATCAAACTTGTTAACAGAGCTTAGAGATATATTTTATTGTTCATGCAACTTTGGTCCATTTTTTGACATCAGCGACTATCCAACAGCTAAAATCATTCAGGAAGAGAATGCACCAAATCCAGGATTCTTCTTCATCCACGACACATTCTATAATGACACTAGAAATCCAGACTATTCAGCAAGCATCATTAAATGGATGAGCAAGTTTCATTACACAAGAGACTTTAAAACTGCCAATATGCAGGACATAAAGTTTGAAGATCTGAAAATAAGAATAGGATACCCAAACGTATATCAGCATCATGGAGCATGCGAACATCTTTTCTGTATCACAAGTGTAGACTTGATTGATTCATCAGAAACCCTGAACAGATCTGAGTATCCAAAAATATCATTAACCAGTAATAAAAGGTCAATACAGTGTGACATTTGTAATAAAGCTGAGGCTGAGTATATAGTGACAAACTGTCCATTGCATGTACAAGATCCAACAAGGCTCTGTGAGACCTGCTTCTTCTCCTATCACTATATCGATCGTACCACTAAAACTTGTGAGTTTAATGCTTATAAAATGTATAGTCCCAATCCAGGAAACTTTGAAATTGTTACGGAATCAATAGAAGAATTCGAACTCATTGACCCGTCTACAATGTAATTTTTTGGGTCACAAGTGGTCGCAGCATTTCTCAATCTGATATAGTCAGTCTAAAAATAAATGAAGAATTCAGAAAGCATGCATGGTTTATGTTTTTTATTTCTATTTCCTTGTGAGATCGTTGAGAAAAGAAAAGAAAAAAATTAATTTTTTCTCATTTTCTAGACGAAATTTTCTTCTAGTCTTTCGGAAAATTTTCACTTGTGAGCATCATTAAAAATTAAAATCATCGAAAATGGATTCTGAAAAGTGTGGAAAATGCGGAAAAGTGGCAACATCAATGTGCATTAACTGTAAAACTGCATTTTATTGCTCTCGTGAATGCCAAAAGTCTGACTGGAAGTGCCACAAAACTCAGTGTCGATCATTTGAGGTTTGAATTTTTCATGAAAATTCTCTGAACATAAATTTTCTCAAATCCATTGTCTTCTCTCAGATCGTTAGTGATGAAAAAATTGGGAGATTACTGAGAGCAAGCAGAGATATCTCAGCCGGCAATATTTTGATCTCTGAGAGTCCTATTATTATTGGACCTAAATGGACATTAGATGAAGATGAAGAAATGCTTAAATTCACTTGCGTTGGATGTTTTGAAACTATTAATACTTTATATTATAAATGTCCATCATGCAGTTGGCCAGCATGCTCATCGGAATGTATTGGGCTTTTGAATTCTGAACTTCATGACATTGAATGTCAATTTATTAAGTTCGGAAATGGTATAACAGATCTAATGGAATAGGAACGTTTTATAAATTCTAAAACTTTTCAGGTCCAAAAGAAAAGACAAACATAAAATCCATAAAGGGTTATTTCAGAATGGATACAATGTTGGCTCTTAAAATTCTCCTTTTGCAGAGAAAGAATCCAAAAAAATTCCAAGCCATCATGGATATGGAAAGCAACGAAAAGAACAGACTGCTCACATCGAACTTCAAGTAAGAATTGTTCAAACATTGCAAGCATGTCAGTCTTAATGTTTATTTAACAGGGAAGCTGAGGAAAAAATACTGTTCCTTGAAGAAAACTTTTTAAATCCATTGGAAAAGGCAGAAGAAAAAAATGGACAAACAATTTTACCTTTAAAGGATCGAAAAATTTTACATAAAATATTCGGCATTATCGAAACAAACGCAATTTACATCAATCTCCAAACAGGCACAGAAATTTGTGGATTGTATCCAACAGCTGCTTTATTACAGCATTCATGCTTGCCAAATGTCTCTTATAAATTTGATATGAAAAGTGGTTTTAAAATTTCTGTTAAGGCTGCGAAGGACATCAAAAAAGGAGAAGCTTTTTCAACTTCCTACACTCATGTCTTATGGCCTACTTCAGTTAGACAGCAGCATTTAATGGACACAAAATACTTTACTTGTAATTGTGAGCGTTGCATCGATCCAACAGAATTGGGTACGAATTTCGCAACTTTAAGATGTATTGGAAGCGATGAAGGTCCTTGTAATGGCTTTCAGACTCAAACTTCAAAGTTTGAATTTTCATGCAATAAATGTCCAATTAAAGTATCAATGGAGCACGTAAATATGATTACAGGAAGAATGAATGAAGAAGTTGACAATCTTTTGTCTTTGAGTCCAAATCCAGCAACTATTGAAGACCTGATTGAAAAATTAAGTCCATTCTTACATCCAAATCACTATCTTCTATTTAATTTGAAGCATACATTAGTTCAGCTTTATGGCAAGCATAAAGATTCTCCTTATGACACATTGAGCATTGATAACTATAAGAGAAAACTCAGCATGTGTGAAGAGATGATTAAAGTTGTAACTGCTTTAGATCCTTTATCTATTAGAATTGCATTTTACACGAGTATCCTTCTGTATGAAAAGGCTATGTGCATGTATGAAATGCACAAACATAAATATGATAATATTGACTTAAATGAAGTTAAGAAATGCCTTGAAGATGCCAAGAAAATTATATCCGTAGAAGAGGATTTGACAGAAGGAAAGCAACTTTTGCAGAAGATTGAAAATGCTCTCATTAAGTTTTAAAGCTTGATGACGAATATCAAATGTTGATTTTTTGAAGATTTATTTTATTGTCATTTTTTTGAGGAGGGTTCATTTCTATCCTCGGTTCGTTTTTAACTCAATAAATATGTTTTTTTATGTTTCAGATGTATGACTTTTATTAGAATCTTTAGATTTGTCAAGATATCTATTTCTGCGCAGATTTAAAAGTTCTTAAACTTATAAATTTCAACTTCTTTAAAGACATTAATATTTTACGTATGGAACATTTCCACTTCTCTCAACACACACAATCAATTCATTCCAATGTCCTCAGGTGCACTTTTTATACTGCCATAACAATTTTCCACAAATTACGGGGATAGCAGATGGGTCCTTTGTCGATTCTCTCCCCAAAAAACTCATAAAGAGTAAGTCATCGTAGCACATACAAATAATTTTTTAATCAATAAATACTTAAGTACACAAAGTTAACTCAAATGAATAAAATCCAATGGAAAGGAATTAACAATTATCGTCTTGTCAAGGAGCTTCTAATACGTGATTCAGATATGAAATATAGCAAATAGCTAATTTAAGAATTTCGATTTTTGATAGCTTTTTATCCGGTGGCAATGTCGGAAGCAGTTTTCTTAGGTCTGAAAAAGCCACATTAAATGCTTCCACTCGAATTCTTTCTCGTGTCGCATGAGCAGTTCGATATTTTTGCGTTGCCCGTCGTCTTCCTGTTAAAATTTATAATTAATTAAGTTAAAGTCTTAAAAATTAATCTATTATCCCAAGACCAACTTCTTCTTTCCTCCCTTGTTAATCCACTCAAATCGATATTGCATCCATCAGCCGATATTAAATTATTTGAGTTCCTTTTCCTCCCACTCGTAGAATTAGTTGTCGTCGATATTTGCGGATGAATTAAATTAGCACTATTGAAATTCTCACATGTCACTCCACTATAATCATCTCTTCTTATGCAAGCTGGTGTGGATGTCTGATATGACATCCCATGATTTTCTATACCGTATACCATATTTATTTTTAAACTTATCAAAAATTTGCGACTAGACAGAAATGAAGATTGTGCTAAACTGATACGATTCAGAGATTTTTAATCATCTGTAAGCTTCCAAAAATAGACACGCCCTCCTTAACTGTTTACTTAATGATGGAATTAAGAATGTAATTTTGTCAGACTGTTTGGAATTACTAGGGGAAATAGAACTTGTTGAAATTATTCTCAACTTGTTCAATGAGCCAATCGTAGCGCTTGAAATATTTTGTGCATGAATTTCTGGTGCTGACGATTTTGCGTATCATATTGAATATTTTGTGACTGCTTTATTATTGCTTTACTTTTATTGTTTTCTAATTTTGTCAACTTTTAGTTGAGACAATTTCGAAGTTCCGAAATTTTGTTTATAGACTCTAATTAAGGATGGTAAATTTTTGAAAGAATCTCCATACATACAGACATAATTACATTGAGAAAATCATACAAAGAAAAAGTTTTCATGGTAATTCTTCAAGACTACCGCATTATGCATGCAAATAGAAGCATGGATTCTATAAATAAATATTCTAGAATCATCAGGTTGTTCCACAACCACTTCGAACAATGTTAAAATTTCCCCTCAATTTTATTTACTCTGTTGCTTCAGCTAGAAGCTTGATCGATAATCAGTCGGTTGTCCATAGCAATATTGTGCCAAATTTCTTCAGTTTTCCATAGTAAAACTATTTAGTTCATGTCAACATTTCAATGGACTGAGTTTGATTTATTTTGAATCTTAAACTTAAAATTATTTTACTGCAAAATGTCAAAAAGTTCTGCTGGAAGTAACAGGAAAAGTGTGAGTGACGATGTTCATTACTTAATTAAGTTGAAGATTGGTCAGTTCTCTTCAAAATAAACAGATTTCTTTAGATTCTAAGCTTCAATTGATTTCTTTCGTTTAAAAACCTTGTTCTTAATTTATTGAACTACTCCATTTGAAGTTTCTTGATCTGGAACCTTAAAATCGTCATAATTACATACCAAACAAATCATTATTTAATTGCATAAAACTTTTGCAACAACTTTACTGCTGAAAATTACTTGAAAACGTTTCGAACAAACTTTCTTTTGTCGTTGTCTTGGGTGCGATTCACGTTCCTATCTATCGATTTCTCATTTCATTGTTGCAATAATAAAACGGCAACATTTTCGTCCTATAAAGAAGATTTCATGAATTATGAAAATTTCGATCAAATTCTTGTGCAGTTCCAATCAATGCCTATAAAATTCTTGTATAAAAAATATGAACACTTGTCTAATAGCCCTTTAGGATCATAAAAGGGGTTAGTGACGAAAATACACAAACAGACACAAAAGTTAATCTCAATCAGTATTAAATCATATGATTTATGGCTGTGGATCACTTGTGAGGACAATAAAAAGAACAATTGTTTGGAATATTAAAACAAACAAGGCACAAAATCAAATATTTGTTTTGACGGTCCTAAAGAGCTAAGAAATGGAATTGGCAAAACATATGATAGTAAACAGCACTTGCTATATTATTTGGTTTTTTTTTTGACTAAGGCTTAATTGAATGATAAATGAAGCATTTAAAGCAACCACGACATTCATCCCCTCTTCAGCAATTACTTGTAAATTTATAAAATAGAATTGTAATTGAAATTGAGCTCGAAAAAAAAAATCATTTTTTAAAACTAAATTATGATAATCCTCTGACTATAGAACATCACTTTAATTGCCACCTCACGATAATCCTCTTCTGTGATAAATTGCTCTCAAGGGTACCAAACAGAAGTTATCCCTCCCCTTGTTTGTTTATATGTGACAATATTCAATGTATGCAAAACATGCAGCTGCACAATAAACATACAAAAATACCGAGAGAGTACAATAGGAATCAAAATCTTGTTAAACGCTGTTCACAAAAGAACCCCTTCAACACTTGCTACAATGGAATACACGTGACATTACAAATTTATATAATATAGCGGGCGTGAATTATGCTCTGCATACCTATCATTTTCACTTTACTACAATGAAAATAATTATTAAATATTCAAATTTTTGATGGATCATGTAATGACTTCATCACCAATCCACGTGTCCATTATCATTTTCTTACTTAACAAATTATAAAAATCAAATTAAATTTATTCACTCCATAAACCATCGTGACCAATAAGCGTGTTAAAGAAAATTAGATATGGGAAATGGAAAATTCTCAATTTCATTTCAAGCATTATTCAATTGTCGTCCTTGCTGCTGCATTTTATTTATTTTTATGTTTTTTGAGGATTAAAATGCAATTTTTTATGCATTTTGTGTGGAAGGGATGTTGATTTATGGTTGGTTTGACTGCCTGTTTGACTAGCTTGGTCATTTGAATCGTATATTTGGAGATTTTTAAGTATCAATAGGCTCAAAACAAGGAGATTAGTTCAAAATCGTTGAGTAATTTTCAAAATCCAATTCTATTCTGCTCGTTTGAATTTTTGAAAGTTCCACAATGATTCAGATCTGAAAAAAATGTTCAAATAACCCTTGTACATAATATTTTTCATACACATTGAAGTAATAAAATTTTTTGTTGATATTCTCTAGTTTAGGACTTTTAATGCCTTTAATTTTACTTGATTAATGGTTTCCTCAAAATATTACGTCATGAAATTGAGGATAAATAAGTTTTTTTACAAATTTTACAAATGTTTATCAAAAAGTTTGGCTCACGATAGCAATTTGTATGAAAAATTAACTGATTTTCAATCGCAAATATCTCGCTTTGGGCATTTTTGGGCATGTACACATTAACATGGAAGGTTAATTAGACTTTATTCTTTGGATTTTAATAGGTTTGGTAGAAGTGGAGAGACGCGAATTTAACTTATGAGTGTTTAAAGTCTTGGTAAATTTCAAAAAAATTAATCATGAATATTCGCCCAATTAATAGGTTTTCCTTTGGTTTCTTCACACAAACACAAAGTACTAAGCTTAATTAATCTAGTTATCAGCATTAAAACAAGAAATTAGAAGTAGAAAGGAGAAAAAAATTAAGAAAAATATTTGTTGTCATTTTGTAAACAAATTGATTGTCATCTTAGAATCGAATTTTTGTGAATTAGACAACATATTGGAATGAGATATTTTTACAGAACATAAAACAAATCATGTTCTGCAATCTGGCATTTAAAACATATAGTTTAATTAACTTGTTTTTTTGAAATTTTGAATATTTTTTTTCAAATCTGAATCATTGTGAGTTCCTTAAAATTTAATGTTACTCCTTCAATCCTTTAAAAGTATCGAAAAGTCGCTTTAATTTCCACATTCAGAAAACAATCCCTGACTGATTTCAATTATACGCCCATTTGTCTTGTATCAAATCCCTTCAGTATCAATAAAATAATTCAATTTAATTCTCTTTTAGTCTGGATATGTTCCTGGTGACATCACCAGTTTCATTAATCAGCATCCAAATCGAAGTGACTTGTTCGACAAGCAAAATAGTGAGGAACAATTGGAATCGGTTAAGAATGATGCGCAACACTTAACATCAGGGATAAATAAAATTAATTTGGAACCGATTAAGTCTCCGATTGATAGATCTGCGTCAAGAACAAGTTCTACGAAAATTCGAAATGATCGAGCCAAGTCTGCATTTGCTGCTGCATTTCATAATTTTCAAACAGCTAAGAAAATGGCTCAAGATAATCTTGATCATCAACCACTTCCTGATGCCATAATTTTGGATAAGAAGTTTTCAGAACTTGATGATTCCTTAGATTTTGCAAGAGTTACTGGTGTTGGATATAAAGGTTATAAAGTTGGACCAACTCAATGTACCAAGTTAAAAGTTTATCGTCCTAAAACGTGTGGAGTAATTCCAAAAAATGTTGATAAAAGTACAATGGATGACTTTGATGATGAAAATCGATTGAAACTTGATCCAAAATTGGGTCCAATGGATTTAGCAATTCGTTGGGATTATCGTCCTAAGAAAGGAAGAGAGCCAAAATTGCCACGACACATTGATGGATCAAATGATGTTGTTGGTTCCATTTTTACTAAAGTTAAGGAAATTCAGGGTGAGAAGGAGAACACAATTCCTCAATTTGAACGTGCTGAAGGAGTCTTTCATAACACTCAAGGAGAAATCGACTTTTTTGATCGAGATTTAATATTAAAGAGACGAGATTATCAGAAAAAATATGAAAAAGAAAGAGAATGTACTTGTGGAACAGATGTTGCAAGTTTTAAAGATGTTCCAGGAAGTGGAAGCGTCATAAATAAAAATCGTCCGAAAACAACAAAGTCGGATTCTGCGCTTTTTACAGGTTCTGCACAGAATAGAAGATGTAAGAGTTCACCAAATCTTTCAGTCATGGCTAATCCAAGGAGTAATGTAGATATCGAAAGCATAACAACACCATTCGTTGATGATTCTAGAAAATTACCAGTAGCACAACTTCCAAAAGAAACAGAACAGCAAAAGAGAGTTGTTAAGCAGCCAAGATACGCACATCAAACTATCCCTAAACTTTGTGAACAAATGAAGCAAGACTATGAGAAAATCATGAAAAAATATTTTCTATCACAAGAGCTTGTTAAGTTGGATGAAAATAATAATGATCCATCATTCTGCGTCGATAAACCAGTGTCAAAGAATAAGAAGCCTTTAGTGCGTGTCCCAAAACCAAAGCAGCCTTACAAGAAAAGGAATTATCATATTGATAGCTTAGCTCCACCATTCAGCAGCTGGTGAGATAATACAATGATCAAGATTAAGCTCATTAATTGCTTAAATAATCAATAATTTTAGGTCCGGTCGAGGTGATGAGTATCCAAATAGCTGGCGACTCACAAGCATTTACCAACAAGCTTACAAACCTGTTGAATCTCGAAAAAGGCCATTCCTTCAATCTATTTATCGCTAAAATAATTCTTTGAAATTGAAAAGTCTAAAATAAGTAACAGGGACAGTGAGAATGAATGATCTAGACATGTTATGGAAAAAAATTATCTCAGATTATTCTCAGCACAAAAAAACTTTATTAATTAAAAATCTCTCACAACTTTTTTTACATAATCTTATTGCACGCAAATTGAAATTGAGAATGAGATTGAAATCAGATTTAGTAGCTCGCTAGAAGTGGAATTAGATGCACGCTTAAAAAAGAAAGGAAAGAAAACAGTGCACGTAGATAGTAAAACGCAAATAATTGCATTAAATCGATTTTTTGCAAGTATTAACAAGGAATTTTAAGAATAAATAAAGGAGATCGAGTTTAAAGTGCATTTTATTGTATTTTCTTAAATCATCTAATGAAGGTACTCAAGATTTTTTTTTCTAAGAATTGGAATTTTAAAATATGAACAGTTCAATAAATTCTTAATTAACTCATTTATAAACTGTGACAGTTGCGCATATATTAAAAATGTTTAGCGCAGCTATTAAATGAGTGTGCATTAGCTGTTAAAACATGTAATTGTTTACAAAATAATTGAGTTATCAATTAATCATCTTCTTATTGTGCAAAAATATTCTTTTCACAGGGAAATTTCATACTGTATTTAGTGCTAGTTGCTAGTATCTCATATGAAAGTGTAAAATGTCAAAGAAAAGTATCTCCGTGCCCTTCGATTTTTTCATATGACACAGATACTGATGACACATGGCATGGAACATTAAAACTATCAAGTACAGTCCCTCTTTATGGAGTCAATGTGGATGTGATTTTCGATAGAAAAGTCATTGGATTTGGTGCTTATCATTTTAATGAAGCGACAACTAGTAATTACTTAGAATTTCGACTAGAGAATAAAAATTTCAAATTAGATCCTGGACGAACGCTTGTGATGAATATTTATGTGAGATATCAAGGCAGTAGCCCATTGCTTAAACAAATACGGCTTAATGGACAGAATGTATGTGTAGATATTCCAACAATATCAGCTGTTCAACCGGTTTATAGTCCTGCATCGACCAGTAATTCACAATTTGATATTGAAACAACTAGAAAACCACTTCCACGGGAAATCCCCAAGTATGAATGAATTGCATCTTCTATTTGCATATATAATAAAATAATCTATTTAATTTAGCTTTGAATCCAATTATGACACAACGACTCGTCGAAACAACAATAACAGAAATTCACAGACAACTAAGCAGTTATGGATTGATGATGAAAGTAATTTTAATAATAGACAGACTACTTCAGTAAAACCAGCAGTAAATAACAGACCTTTTAATCAGAATAATAATAAAAACAATGTTGCAAGAATAACAACGACTACTCAACGTTCTTATAACTCTTATGATCAAGGATCATCGAACAGCAATGGCCGGAGACCATCAAATAATGATGACAGAATCTATTATGAAAATACTGAACGTGACCCATTTAATCCACAAGTAAATCGAGGAACAGACAATTCATTTAACAGTGAATCTTCAAATAATCAGAATGATCCAGTAACATACCGTGCATACGAACAAAGAATTTCTACTACAACCAGAAGGTCCAATACGAGAAGCACAGAAAATTCTTATACTACAAAACACAATTATTTTCCTGGCGACCTTCCGTTCTTTAATACAGAAACAACTGTGAGTTTTATTAAAATAATTTATTATTGACAGAAGATCTCACTTGCTTGCTTTTTACAGACTCATTCAATACTAAGTGACGATAATGAAAATGATTGTGGAAGTGTAATTCCAAAAGCAAATCCTTTAATCATTCATGGACTTGAGACTTATCCTGGAAATTTTCCATGGCATGCAGCTTTGTATTTTAGTGAAATTGGAAGTTTAAAATATATTTGTGGAGGATCTTTAATATCAATGAGTTCAGTTCTTACCGCTGCACATTGTGTGACGAAATCAAAATCAAAAACTGCTATTAACAGTGACAGCTTATTAGTGTATCTAGGAAAGCATAATTTGCAAAAGTGGACAGGACAAGAACAAGATGGAAAAGTCATTGATATTATTATTAACGATGAATATGATCCTGAAAGATTTTACAGTGATGTTGCTATCCTTAAATTAAAAGATCCTTTGAGAAGGACAAATTATGTTAGACCAGTCTGTTTGTGGAGCTTCGACACAGATCTCAAACATATTGTCGATAAATTAGGATCAGTTCCTGGATGGTAAGCTAGTATTGATGTTTTATGAACACATTATCAGAATTAAAATCATTTTAGGGGATACAACGAGAATGGATTAGTCAGTGAAGATCTGACTTACATTAAAATGCCAGTAGTTACACATGAGACATGCATTTGGAGCAATCGAGACTTCTTCAGTAAAGTTACGTCAGAAAAGTCATTTTGTGCTGGGTTTAGAAATGGAACTAGTATTTGTAATGGAGATTCTGGTGGAGGTATGGTCTTTAAACAAGCAAATAAGTGGTATGTTCGAGGTGTGGTGTCTGTTTCAATAGCTTTACAAAATACATTAAGATGTGATCCCGAGCATTTCTCAGTTTTTGTGGATGTTGCAAAATACATCTCGTGGATCAAGCAAAATGTATAGGATTAACAAATGGTTGTTTTATGAAATTGTAAGACTAATAAAAATACTTAATTGTTATCCAAAGTTTCAAACTTGACTTAATTTTAATAATCAATCAGTTTACTTCCATCTAAGATCAATTATCTTGAAATTTTTGTTCTAAGTTCTGTAAACAAAACTTATGAGTTTGGCAATAAATAATGAGTCATATTTTCAACTAGTCATACTTCAAAACTAAGGGTTAATCATTTTGAACTCTCTTTTAAAGTCATCAATTTTTAAAAATTAATTTCCATTTTCACTCAGATGCTCTTTAGAGCTAGAACGGAAATGAAGTGAGTAGTGACATGTTTTTCATTTTAAGACCAATAAATCAGAGATTTCAATTACAGTAAGCTAATTCTTGCAACGTTTGTAATCCTCGCTTGTTCCTTACAAGCAGCACACTGTGGAGTATGGAATGATTTTGTAAGCGAGACTGTTTATGAAGTGATTCATAATTTTCTGAAGGAAAAATATGCAGATTCACCAGATACAACTGATTGCTTAATGAAACATTTTAAAGTTATCGATTTATCCAGGAAAGTTGATAGACCTGAAATTCTTGTGGATAATGATCTGTTGAATGACTTTCTCAAACCTTACATTGATGATGCTTTATCAAAATGCAGAATTGAGGATATCTTGAAATTAGATATTGACGATAAACTGATTCCTATGCTACCTGGTCAAGCATTAAAGGAATTCTGTGACATACCACCTGAAGAATTTGAAAAGTCAAGTCTTGCACGTAAAATTCTATTTGCAATTAATTGTAAAGAAAAGGTTTTGGTGTATTTTGATGAATAAAATAGTTTATTCAAGTTTCTGTTATTTATTAAAGTTTTATAAAACTATTCAAATTATGACTCGTCACTGTAATCAGATTAAAAGCACCAGAAATTAATAACATAATAATAGTCATCTAATATGACGAACAACATATATGTGATGAAAAATCATAAATCAAGATAATTTTATTCAAATGGTCTTTAAAACTAGAACAAAAATGAAGTAAGTGGCTTAAAATTTTGGCTTGGTTAAAATTTTAAAAGTTAAAAAAATTTACTTCTGATTTTTTCAGCAAACTCATTTTCATCAACTTCGTCATCGTCTGCTCATCAGCCGTTGCACAAAATGGAATGTTTAAAGGCTTCGTAGATGATACAATTTATGGCGCAATTCATGTCGTTCTTAAGAATCAATATCCTCATGAGCCAGAAAAGACAGACTGCATGATTGCAGACTTCAGACAAAATAAGGTAGCCGACAAATTTTACACGCCAGACTTACTTGTTGATCAGGATAAATTAGCAAAGAAAATCCAGCCATTCATTGATGAATCAAATTATAATTGTACATTTCAATTCTTTCAATCACCATTAGGTATCTGTGTTCTAATTGCTTTATTCCTTCTTGCCATTGGTTTCATTTGTTGCTTGATTCGTTTCCGAAAATCATAATTTATATAAATTTTTTCAATTTAGTGCCATAATGGCGGGCTTAATTTAGGGGCTGTTCACTTATTACGTAACGCGAAAAAATGACTTCTTAGACCCCCCCCCCTCGTAACAAAATTTGTATGAAAAAAAATTTCTTGTTTCTTAGACCCCCCCCTCCCCCTAAAAGCGTTACGTAATAAGTGAATGGCCCCTTAGTAAAACGTGTAAAACTATAATTAAAAGTAATTTATGAATTTCAGTGAATAATATAAAATAAATGAAATCACAAAAATCGGGAGCCACGTGGTTGAATGAATAAATTCAACGGTTAAACGTGACTTCATAAAATTAACGGTTTTTTTTTGAAACTTTTATTCACCACAACAGACATTCTTGCTGGATATTCTAGTCTGTTTACATTGCTTATTAGCTCTATTAATTATTTATACTTAAATATTTACACTTGCGTGAATTTTATGGATCCACTTCGAAATATAATCATTGATTTACACGACTTGATACTTCAACACCTCAATACTAATGAAATACTCGAGCATTCGACTGTGTCAAGATATTGGTATGAGAAAATTGGAAATTCGAGACAATGTATGAAGAAGATACGGCTTGCGCTTAAATTTTGGAGAAGTACAGCAAAAGAGCAACAAATTGAAGAGAAATTAAAGATATTAAAGAACATTAGCCGAAGATATCAAAATATATCCATCGACTGTAGATTTGATAAAAGAGTTTCTACTGAGTTTTGGAACTTACTGTCTATATTAGCTGATCATATTGTTCTGTTGAAGATCAAAAGCATAAATGTCACAATAGACGGTAGTAATTCATTATTTAAATTAAGGAAGCTTGAAGAACTGAAAATTGTTTATGTGCCTGTAAATGTAAGAAATGTCCTACTTATTGCCTGTAATCCAGTAAAGCTTAAATTAAAGCTAGTCTCGCCACTAAATTGGAACAAAACCAATAAAACAGATACTGAATCTCTAGCATGTATAAGACATTTCATGACAACGAATGAGAGATTAAAGGATGTAGAAATCTATGGAGCTGTTCAGTACCGATTCTTCTTCGATGAAGATTTCTCAAAATTAATCAAGTTCCGCCTTAACTCTTTAAAAATTAAAAATGACTTGAGATTATCGCTGATACCTGAAGAATGTGAAAGAAATTTAATAGACTTCCTAGCAACACAGCAAGAATCACTCGAAAAGATCTTTATAGACGTTTGTAGACCAGCTGTAATCAGACAAGTCTTTAATAATATGAAAAATCTCACATTAATTCACATAGAAACTGTGGTAATGACTGACTTTAAAGTTCGAGATTTGAATTTAAAGCTTAATGAGAATGTGGTCGATTTGCGGATTCCATACATAACGAACAATCAAGATATCAAGGAAATACTACAATATACACCGAACTTGACGTCTCTGTTCGTTGCACATTTAAGTATTGAGACGATGGAGTTTGTGGCTTGGAATATGAAGAAATTAACAATCTTAAAATATAGATACGATGAAATCGATTGTGAAACACTTTATGAGAGACTAAAAGCCGCAAATGTAGATGTTAATCAAAATATAGAAATGGTTGTTGACTACGAATACACATAAAATATTTTTAATAAACATGCAGCATGTCATTTTTCTTACAAAAAGTCATTACAAACACTTAATACAATGTTCTTATTAATTTCTGGCTTTTCATTCTTCAAATTGTCGTACATTCCCTGACAACCCTCTGCTGCTGCACAGTCATCATAACGATAAGTTAATTTTTCTAATTGATGTAAATGTGTCGTAGCATAATCTATGAGTCGTGGGACGATATGACCTATTAATAAGTGCTTGACATTTGGCACCAAATTTAAATAATCTTCTACATCGTCAAATAATTTAACGTACGGAAGCTCAAACTTGGAAATCTTCTCACATTTCTGTAGATTTAATTCTTTAACATCGAAACGATTCGGGTCTCGTAACTCGATGTCAAAACGAATACTTTGTAGCTGCGGTAGTTTACTGAAAATGTACTCGAGTATGTTTTTCCCACATACATCCACATATACGTGTTCTAATGACTCAGCTTGTGTACTTAAGAACTTGAGAAAATTATCTTCTTGCGATTCCGTTAATAGCTGTGGAGACATTTCGATCTTAAGTGTGAATTTCTTCAACTGACACTTTACATAGCTTGATATGTCTTGGTGGAAAAATGAATAGAAATTTGCTCTTCCTTGTATTTCTAGCTCTTCCAAGTATTGGTTATTCAACATAAATTGTCTGACGCACTCGATTGTTGAGTCCGTTGGAAGATAATTTAAGTTATCATAGCTTAATGGCACTTCATTCCATAAAATGACTTTTTTCAAGTTACAACTTGATAATATGAATCTATTAATTACTTCCCTTGGCACGAACATTAACTTAAGTGATTCCAATTTCGGTATTGACAATTCATCAAATTTATCGATTTGATCCTGATCAACCTTAATACTGCGGACATTTAAGGATTCTAAGGAACTGCATGTTTTAAGGAACTTGTAGAATTCAAGAGAAATATTCTCATTAAGTAGGCAATTTGATTTGATGTGGACATACTTCCTTGCTTCCTTTTTGCTCATCCATTCCAATAATTCAATCCTTTCCTTAAAATCAGTCTTCCTATTTGCTCTTAAATTTAATTTAACTTTGTCCATACAGACACTTGATTTTCCGATTATTTCGTACCATTTCTTACTCACTAAGGATAGCTTAAACAGGATGTCATTAATGTCAATGTGTCTTAAAATGCCATCAAAGATTTCTTCAGGTAATTTCTCAAAAGGATCCATTTTTCACTTGCTTACTATACACAGATATTCACATGACCTGATGTATTCACCACAAGCTTGTGGTGAGTTTTAGAAAAGATACAGGCAGTCATACATACATACAAAGTTCATTCATTCAGTCATAAAAGCTTCACAACTAAATAGGCGAGTCTCTCGAATTTAATTTGACGTTTTTAATTTAATTTCTGTGTTAATTTGTCTCAGAAGTAATCAGGAGGTCTCGTAAACATGAAGTGAGTGCATATAACATATTATAATAGTAAATTAGTGCTGATAAAGTGGCAAATTTTGCAATAAATTACTTTCACTTTCCGAATTGTTGTTGCTTCTTACAAACACTTGCAACATACATCCATTGAATCATTTACTTTACACTGGAAAGAATAGTGAATCATTGTCACATTGAAAGCGCATATTACATAAAAATTTATGTTAACATAATATTGACTGTATGTTTCAAATTTTTTCAGCAAACTCATTTTCATCACTTTCGTCATCGTCTGTTCATCAGCCGTTGCACAAAGTGGAATATTTAAAGGCTTTGTAGACGATACAATTTATGGCGCAATTCATGTCGTTCTTAAGAACCAATATCCTCATGAGCCTGAGAAGACGGACTGCATGATTGCAGATTTCAGACGAAATAAGGTAGCTGACAAATTTTACACACCAGACTTATTAGTGGACCAGGAGAAATTAGCAAGGGAGATCCAGCCATTCATTGATGAAGCAAATCTTAAATGTACACTCATTCAATTCTTCCAATCACCATTAGGTATCTGTGTTCTAATTGCTTTATTCCTTCTTGCCATTAGTATCATTTGTTGCTTGATTCGTTGCATTTGCTGTTAAGTTAACTTAACTAATCATTTCAAATGATCTAAAGAGAAGTAATAATAATAATTACAGCAATAAGCAACAAACAAAAAAAAGAAATATCGACCTTGGCTACGTTTTGTATCCATGAAATATCGTATATTAAAGCTCGTGCCTATAAATGCGTGAATCTCGGGGGCATTGCAAACTTCAAATTTTTTTTACACTAATTATAGTAATGTATTTTTCTGATAACTTTTACATTCCTGACTATCATTTCCATTTTATGTCTCTATTTAAATACTTTATTAATCTTTATACAAGAAGAAATCATATAAATGTAGCAACTAAGTGTGTGGCAGATCAAAAAATTCATTAACAGCTATTTAAGACATCTATATTAAAAGTTAATTAATTAAGAAGGAAGCTCATTATAGCTCGATTCATTTTTAGCTATGATGCTTTGAACAACTTGAACTTGTAGCTTTACAATCTTTTCTTATCATTTTCTGTTTAAAAATAATAAAATTACAAAAAAAAAATAAAGGAAATAGCGATAAGCACATACTTTTATCATTCCATATATGCAGTCATTGTTATAATTTTGGCATGTTATCATAAATTTTTATTTGCAGTTCTTAGTCATCATTATCATGTTGTTTCTCATTAACTCGTTAATACATATTGTAACAAGCATGCAAGTATTATTAGGCTAATAGCAACAACTATAAATCATTGACACAAATTTTATATTCAAAGTTGTATTTTATGCATAAATTATCTATCATGTAACCTTCCCGAGCTGTATACAATCATATATTTAATAAAAAGTTTTTTAATGCTCGGGATTAATAGATTTTTTGAATTTGAATCTAAAGTTTTTGAATAAATTCAACTTCAGGTTTTTCAAATGTCTTCAATGATTTATGCCTTTTCTGATTAATATAATTAATATTTTATTAACTCCAGGGATTTTCATATTGATAAGGAGATGGTGTGATTATTTTGCAATTTTTACCTACTTCCTTTGTCGAATAAGCATAACGGTTGTTTAAAATTCAAACTTTGTTGTGATAAAACATAAACAAAAAGCATGTTAATTTAATTCACAATTTTAAAAATCATGATTTCTGCAAGAAAAAGCAGCCTTCGAGCAGTTTCAGATGCACAGAAGTTGTGGCCTCATCTCAATGGAGTATTTTGTGTCTATAAACCAAGTAATTTAACAATAAATCAGACAAGATTTACAATTATATCGAATATTTGTAGAGGTGAGAACAGAAAAAACATTAATTAATGCAATTATCTACTTAAATATGAGTTATTTATAGATTTGAATGAATTAAGTGTAAGACCACCAAGGAAACGAGTGCTGATTGAGCCTTCAACAGACTGCAAATATTTAGTAAAAACTCAAAATGATTTATCTGATCATGTGCTGGTTGTTGGAGATAGATATCAGAATTGCGATATAGTTATGAGTGGAAGTCATAATTTGGGCAAGCTTACAAGTGGTGTGATGAGTAAGACAATCCAAATAATATATAATTATCACAGTCCTAATGTTAATAATTAATTAAAGCATTCGGCTTAAATCGTGGTGCAAAAATGGCAAGCAGAATACGAGATAACAGACCAATAAGAGTTTATCATGTGACTGGTAAATTAGGGAAATCAACAGAATCGCACTTTTATGACTCGCCTACAACAGCTAAAGCTACGTTTGATCATGTACATTTAGGCAAATTAAATTCACTCTTAACATCCTTACAAGCATCACATCAGAGGAAAATGTATGAAATGTGTGGAGTGGATATGCAGTCACAATCAGCATATGAATTAGCCATAAAAGGACCAATTCGTCCTGCAATATCCAATATTCCTTTACTTTACAGTATTCGATGTATTGAATATAAAAGACCTTACTTCACATTAGGTAATTATCCATGACTGAGCCTTGCTACTCACAATGGGGCAAAATTCGTCTTGTAGAGGACATTGAATTAGACTTTTATGCTAAATTTCAGTATTATTATACAATTTTCCATAGTGGAACTAGAATGTTCAAGATTTGCATATTTTTGGACTTTGAATGCTGAGTCATGGCTTAATATTGATTGATGACACAGCATAATTAACTTTTATCATTCAATTCTTTTCAGAAATCCACGCATGCAATGAGTCAGAAAATTACTTGGGAATTTTAATAAATGAAATTGGAATTGAATTAAAGTCATTAGCATATTGCTCACAAATTAGATGTATTAGAGAATCACATTTTACATTAGAGGATGCATTAGTCAAGAGACATTGGAATGTAGAGGCACTACTAGGAAACCTGAAAAGATGTCGAGACATATTACTTAAACATCCTGAAATTATTGCGCAAACTAATCCAATTTTAGAAAATATGAATAAAGAACAAAGTCAGTAAATTTGTTTGTTAATCAACTTGAAATGTTTTTATTTGTTGCTTCCAGTTCTTGCTGTTTATTTTTAAATTATACTCATACCATGTGTCAATTTCTACTTTTATTTTACTTCAAAGATTCGGAATGAAATTTAAGTTAAAAATATAAATGTTGTACGAAAAAGGAGAATAAAAATACTGAATATTATTAATTATATTTTTTTTGGGTGGTTATTACTTCAAGCTTTAAGTAAGTTCAAGTGAAAATTTGAAAGAAAATAAATGATGGGAAGCGTATCAAGTTGGCAAAAACAAGCTATTTGGTTCCGCAAATTGAATATTTAATCGACTTCTTCAATAGTTGGGCCTGAACCTGATCCAGCGGTTGGAGCTGCTCCTGAAGGATTTGGAGTTGCTCCTGGGAAGTTTGGCATATTTGCTGCACCACCAGCTGATTGATATAATTTGGTGATAATTGGACTGCAAATTCCTTCCAATTCCTTTTGACGATGTTCATATTCTTCCTTTTCGCCCAATTGATTAGCATCAAGCCACTTAATGGTATCATTACATTTATCCAAGATAACTTTCTTGTCAGTTTCTGAGATCTTATCCTTTAACTTTTCATCTTCCATTGTTGATTTCATGTTAAAGCAGTATGATTCTAAGCCATTCTTTGCAGCAATTCTGTCCTTTTGGAGATCATCCTCATTACGATACTTTTCAGCTTCATTGACCATACGTTCAATGTCTTCCTTGCTCAAACGTCCCTTATCGTTTGTAATTGTGATCTTATTTTCCTTGTTTGTTGATTTTTCCAAAGCTGTGACATTCAAAATTCCATTAGCATCAATATCGAATGTAACTTCAATTTGAGGAACTCCTCTTGGTGCTGGGGGAATTCCAGCTAATTCGAACTTTCCAAGCAAGTTATTGTCCTTAGTCATAGCTCTTTCACCTTCAAAGACTTGAATCAAAACTCCTGGTTGATTGTCAGAATATGTTGTGAAAGTTTGAGTTTGCTTGGTTGGAATTGTTGTATTTCTCTTGATAAGAACGCTCATAACACCTCCAGCAGTTTCAATACCTAAAGATAATGGTGTTACATCCAATAAAAGCAAGTCTTGTACTTCTTCGGACTTGTCACCATGCAAAATTGCGGCTTGGACAGCGGCACCATAAGCGACAGCTTCATCAGGATTAATAGATTTATTTAATTCCTTTCCGTTGAAAAAATCTTGCAAAAGTTTTTGGACCTTTGGAATACGTGTTGATCCACCAACAAGAACAATATCATGAATTGCTGCTTTGTCCATTTTTGCATCACGAATTGCCTTTTCGACTGGTTCCATTGTCGAACGGAATAGATCAGCATTCAATTCCTCGAAACGAGCTCGTGTAATTGAAGTATAATAGTCAATACCTTCGAATAAAGAGTCGATCTCAATACTAGCTTGAGTTGATGATGAAAGAGTTCTCTTTGCACGTTCGCATGCTGTTCTCAAACGACGAAGTGCTCTCTTATTTGATGTTAAATCCTTCTTATGCTTACGCTTGAATTCTTGAGCGAAATGATTAACCAAACGATTATCGAAATCTTCACCACCTAAATGAGTATCTCCAGCGGTTGATTTTACTTCAAAGATTCCATCATCAATTGACAAAATGGAAACATCGAAAGTTCCACCACCAAGATCGAAAATCAAAACATTACGTTCTCCTACAGCTTTCTTATCTAATCCATAAGCAATAGCGGCTGCAGTTGGTTCATTAATAATACGTAAAACATTTAATCCAGAGATAGTTCCTGAATCTTTTGTAGCTTGACGTTGTGAATCATTGAAATAGGCGGGAACCGTAATTACAGCATTAGTGACAGTCTTGCCCAAATATGCTTCAGCTGTTTCCTTCATCTTTGTCAAAACCATTGAGCTAATTTCTTCTGGGAAAAAGTTCTTGGCTTCATCCTTGTACATAACTTGGATTTTTGGTTTTCCTTCGGCACTAATAACTTCGAATGGCCAATGCTTCATGTCAGATTGAACTGCTGGGTCATCGAATTTGCGTCCAATCAAACGCTTGGCATCTATAAATTTATGAAAAAAAAATACTTTTATTAGCCAAACTGTCAAAGATATTTAATTTATTAATGCTTCTATATCAACAAAACTTTTCAATTTTCTTTCATAGTGTTAGTGTGAGACCCTATTAAAATAATTCTTAATTAAGAATTTTGGTAAAATGGGAACACAAACAGATTTGTTTTTACAAAATGAAGACTGCGATAGTTTTGAATGAGTAAGTACATCTATATATCTTGGTCACGACATTGAGTGATAATTTTATTAAAGTCTGTTGCGAACTGTGATTATATCAGTTCATTGTACGTAATATGAAACTCATACAGTCAGATACTGAATTACGTACATATAAAATGTAAGAAGAGTTCAATTTCGCAAGCAATAAATAATAAGGAATCTAGTCGAGATAATGACTTACCAAAAATGGTGTTTGTTGGATTCATAGCAACTTGATTCTTGGCAGCATCACCAATTAATCTTTCAGTGTCGGTGAATGCGACATACGATGGAGTTGTACGATTACCTTGATCATTGGCAATAATTTCAACTTTTCCATGTTGGAAAACTCCGACACATGAATAGGTTGTTCCTAAATCGATACCGACTGCTGGAGCTTTTGTAGCCATCTAATTTAAAAAGAAAATAAAGAAGGAAGAAGAGAACATAAGAGATAATGCATAATAACGGAAACTAGCATCTGTCATGTTCTTTCACGCAAGTTCAATGCGGAAAAAGGTGAAAGAAATAATGCAGATGTAAAATAAATGATGAAATCAATACAATCATGTGCAAGGCAAGTAGTTAAATTCAAGGCGTTATGACTCATGACTTGATATAGTCGTGGAAAAAAAGAAGAAATGACTAACACATGAAAGCCATGAAAAAAAGAATTCTCGTAGCTTCTCGAATGCTATTAGAACACTCTAGAAACGGCACACATAAAACTATACGCTTAGTAACCGACAAACACGTTATAACATCCATTTTATCAATTTTGAGTGTGGCTTTAATTTTATTATGAAATCATTTTTTGAATTTTTCATTTTAAATGCCTTTTTATCGATTAAAGCTTATCATATATAATGAAAATGAGGCAACTGTACAGCATGAATCGAGGTTAATTCGAGAATTCTAGAAAAAGCACATGGATATGGCATCATTAAGTCTATTAATACATTCGCTGACCACTTTTCTCAAGAATTACTAATAATTCGGCTATTTTAAGATTATGAAATCTGCGATATGTGCTGTTTTATGCTTAATGAAAAAGAGAAATTCGAGAAATTTCTTGCCGCATTTTGAAAATTGTTGAAAATTTTTTTCTCTTTGTCCCAATTTTCCAATAAATCAATATTTTTAACTTACCTTTTTCTTTATTCAATGTTTTCGATTATTAATTAACGTTTTTAATCACTTTAAAGTATTTAATTTAAGGATTTGAGATCTAATTAAACTATTTTAAACTAGCACACTTTAGTCTTGTTTGACTTTTATTCTTCAATTGAGGGGAATATCGACTCACGCTAAGCTTTTATAGTTGATTTTCCCCGAGATGACCTAGTTTTTAGAGCGCATTTCAAGTATAAAATGTCAATAACTTGAAATTTGTCTTACTGTCTGACTCAGGACTTTGACATATGATTGTTGCCTTTATTTGACACTCCTTTGTTTATTTTACATGTTTATATTGTTTGTATTTTATTAAATAATTGAAAATCCAATTTGTTTTTTCTTGGATAAGCTGATTGACAAAAGATTCAAAAATTTCAAATTTGAAAAAACTGGTAAAATTTTGTTTACATTTATTTGCAGCAATTTTCATCAAAAATATTAAATTAATTATAAATCGTCATTTAAACATTATTAAAAACCAAATTGCGCTTCAAACATAAGTCCATCAATTACTTATCAGTTATAATACCGAGAAGAACGAAATGATTACTCGTGTATTGCTGAAAAATAAAAATTTTAAGTTTTCTAGACTCTTCTCGACTGTCGTTCAGCAAGAAGTTGCTAGAAATGATGCTGTGGAATATCCAGTAATAGAAGATTTATCAATAGAAGCTAAAAGACTTAAGAAAAAGCTAGAATGGCGTGAAAAAATTAAGCGGGTTCCGACAATTGAGGAAAAAATTATTGAATTGAATATTCCTCGTTATTATGGCTATAAATGTCTTATGCTTGAAAATAATGACTTTCCATACAACTCGATGCCATTTATACAGTATGTCACGAACACAGAATTTGAGCAACTTCCAGAAAGCATCAAGGACGAAAGAGAAGCAAAGAGAATTGATGGATTTTTAGGACTGATTAAATCAGATATACAGGATGCCATTGAATTCGAAATTGATGCTTACAAGTAAGTCATACTACATATTTCATAACATTATTTAACTTGTCGCTGTTTCTAGGAATTCATTCGAAGTGGATGGGTCTGATAAGTTGTCACAGGAACAAATTGAAAGAGCAAAAATTGGTCGATTAGTTAAGCAACTTCATCGAGTCATAGTTAATGCTCTTGGTGCTGATAATCGTCATTTATATGAATCTGATATGGACATTGATCCAAGAATTGAAGCATTCTGGTTTGTTGGAAAATTCATCCCTCCTTTAAATGTCCAACGATTTAGAAAACCTCGTCCACATTTAAAAGATTATGTAAATGATCCAGTCGATAGACCATTTCAGTACGTAGGAAATCCCTTATTGACAATGAGACATCAATATCCATTAGAGTCATTCGAAGACATTAATTTTGAATCAATGATTAAGCAAAATGAAAATATTCCAATGGAATCAGTTTATTCTGTTGATCCTCTGGCACATGGATATCATACTTTACACAGGCACGGCGTTTCTGTTCCTGGATTTTGGCCTGGAAATGTTCGAGAATATGGATTATTGTCATATCACGATAGAACTCATTTAATTAAGAGATCAAAAGTTCTAGGCATTAAAGATGACATTGATGCTCTTCATTCTCAAGGAATATTGTCATCATTTGCATGGACATATGCTCAATCATGTTATCAAGGATTTTCAACATACAATGATATGACTTATCCATTAACAACTCAAACAGTCATTACTGATGGTCAGCATTGGTCATTCTATAAATATCAATTAAATACAACAATAACACATACAGAACTAGATGCTCCAAATTATAAGTACAATAAATGTTGGGGAACTAATGAGATGAAATTGTATGAGCATATAGACGAGAATGGTAAAATTCATGGAATGAATGATGATGTCCTTAAACAATTATTAAAGCTTTACATTAATGAGCCAAAAGCACGTAATTACGAAATGAAGCCTTATCTTGATCCAAAAGAGAAGAAAATTGCTGACATTGAGGATGTAGACAGACGTCAATGGTTAGAGAATATTTACAAATATCTAGTCTCAAATAGACCACGTCAATATCTTACACCTGAGATTTATCATTGGGAGAACATTTACAAATTGAAATTCCAAACAATGCCGTTGGATAAGAAACTACGATTCTTTGATTATGGAATTAATCCATTCCAAAGACAACTTAATGAGCATATTCCTGAATATATTCCAAGAGATTTGCGAGCAAACGGACCACACGACAAGAAGAAGAGACGTGCTACTTATTATCCATTAGATCACTGTTCAAATGATCCACGAATTATGTCACACTCGGAATATGGAAGTGCTAAAGATGGCATTAGAAAGAAATATGATAGATTTAGAAAGACCTTTAAGTAAATAAGTTTTAAGGCGAATTAATGCTTAGCAATGAAATAAAAATAACTGAATTTTATAATTTAAAGCTGTTCCTCTCTTTTATCCATCCTCATTTGTTTTTTAAGCTGCATCCTGCGATATAGGCGCATTTTTAATTTCAGATTGATATTCCACTTCCAATGGATTTTCCACATTCAAAAATATAACGGTTTTCAAAAAATTCCAATGAGTTGAACTGAAACGAGCTTGACTGATAACTGAACAGATTAAATATTTTCACGGGAAATATCTTTCAAATTTTATTGCAACTGTTTTTCAAGAAATAAACAAAAACAAAAAAATTACGACTCATACCAAAAATCACAAAATTTAAGACAGAACAGACAGACTTGTGACAGAGCTGCATGTACTACAGATGAGTGGATAGAAAAAATATGTAGAAAAGAAAAACAAAAGTTACGAAAATGCTAAATTTGTGTATAAAAAGAGGAATTAAAGGATTGTTAAATGAAAATGTGTACAAATTTAGTCGAAGTTGCAGTACGAAAAAGGAAGTACGTGTGAGATTTGCTCCGTCACCAACAGGCAAGTGATTTAAATGACATTTTAAGAAAAATTTTCATGCCAAGAAAAGATCAGGCATAATAGCATAATATCCTATAACTTATTTCAGGATTTTTACATCTTGGTGGCTTGCGGACAGCATTATTTAACTATCTGTTTGCGAAAGCACATAATGGGAAGTTCATTTTGCGAATAGAAGATACAGATCAAAATAGACTCGTCGATGGAGCTGTTGAACAAATGATTGAGGATTTGGAATGGTCAGGCATGAAGGCAGATGAAGGACCATTTTATGGTGGAGATTTCGGACCTTACATCCAAAGTCAGAGACTTGACGTTTACCAAAAATACATTAAACAGCTTCTTGAAAGTGGACATGCTTATCACTGCTTTTGTACCGAACGAAGATTAGAATTACTGAGAAAGGAAGCGATAAAGACAAGACAAATTCCAAAATATGATAACAGATGCAGGTAGGCTCGATTTTTACTCAATTATTACTGTTATCTCTAGTTTAAATCTTAAAGGCATCTCACGCCGGTTCAAATAGCCGAAAAAATCGCAAGAGGGGATCAATATTGCATCAGATTTAAGTTGAATGATACGGGAGAAGCATACAATGACTTGGTTTATGGAAATTTCGTATATTATGTAGCACAAAATGAAGGAGATCCTGTTATCCTCAAAGCTGACGGATTTCCTACTTACCATTTCGCTAATGTCGTCGATGATCACTTAATGGAAGTAACGCACGTTTTGAGAGGTGTTGAATGGCAAATTTCAACACCAAAACACTTAATGTTATATAGAGCCTTTAATTGGACACCTCCGTCATTTGCACACTTACCATTAATAATGAATGCTGACGGAAGTAAGCTTAGTAAACGACAAAATGACATAAAGCTACAATATTATCGAGAACGTGGAATATTTCCAGAAGCACTAATTAATTACATCACACAAGCTGGTGGAGGTTTTAATCGTGATCCAAATGAGCGTTTATACTGTTATAATAAGAACGAATTGACTGAGAAATTTGATATCGAACGAATTAATTCAAATTCAACGCGATTAAATCCTGAACTTTTAAAGGATCTCAATAGACTTGAATTAATTAATAAACTTGACAATATTGAGAACCGTAATGTACTTATTCAGCAAGTACGTAAATTAATTAAAGAAAAATATCCATTGAATGCCGAGGAATTAGATTTGGACGATGAGCATATTTATAATGTATTAAAATGGTCCACAAAGCGCATAAGTAGTATCAATGAATTAGCAGAAGAGAATTTGTCGTTTTTATGGGTGTTACCGAAATTAACTAAAGATAAGGAAGTCGAGATAAACGAAGGTAACTTTTTATGAAACAAGAATAATCTCAGGATTAAATTTAAATCATTGGATTTAATTATTAATCCCCATAATTTCAAAACTTATTTTAATTCATCAAACTCAAATTCACTTGCAGAAATCATTGATTCACTAGTCGAGGAACTTAAGGATGAAAACTTTAGTAAAACAAATCTTCAGACTATCTTGAAGGAATTTTCAGGCGAGAAACAGTTGATTTTTGCAAATTTCATGAAAAACCTTCGAAAAATGCTCAGTGGATTAAAGGAAGGTCCAGGTGTTGCTGAAATGATGGAGATTTTAGGCAAAGAAAGCACATTAGAGAGAATTATACGCTTGAAAAGAAAGAAGCAATGATTTTATTAGATATGTAGTCACATGTTGTTCATATTTTAATAAAATAATAATTGTATGTTAAAATTTAATGGACATAAAATAGTTCTAGTTCCTATACACAGCTCTTGATGAAATTTATTAGACTTTCTGGTGATGGTTTGTCACAGACATAACATTTAATATTATTGCTAGATAGACATTTTTCAGTTGACGGTCCAATAGCGATAATCTTTATAGAACTTATGTCTATTCCATGCTTGCTTATTAGTGGCAGTGAGAAATTAACTGACGATGGACTGAAGAAGACAAGAAATTGAACATCCTTTAACTCATTAATTGAACTGTCCAAATTTGGATGCTGAATCGTCTCATAAACTTCAATTACATCCAGATCTATTGCGTTGTCTTTGAGATTTCTTTCCAAAATGTCCTGTTTTAAGTTTCCGCAAACAAACAGCAACTTCCTTTTATCAAATCGATTCTTAAAGTCATTAGCAATAATTGATGACAATTTCAATGCATTTCCAGCCTCCTTTCCTTTAGTTTTCATGTTCAACAGCATATCAACTAGCGTATAAGTGCCTTCACCGACACTATAATTGAAATCTTTCAAGATCCAGTCATTTAAAATTGTCGAATCATTTTGTTCAACAGCATTTTTCAAAGCATGCACAGCTCTTGGACTTGTAAAGATCATTCCATCATAAGAGTCTGAGTGATTCTTAAGGATATCATTTAATTTATCAAGATTTTTGAACTGAAAGTCAATTGAAGAAATTGACGTCACATTAAAACTGTTTTTTTGAAGCTTTTCTACGAATTTATCAGGACCATCACTTTCTGATTTTATTAATACAACCTTCATAGTTACAGAATTTACATGCAGCACATAGAATCACATAATAGTAATAGAGATACTTAATTATTTTAAAAGGTTCATTCAAAATTTGTTTACGTATTCGCTTTTAGTGTCCGTCAAGCATGTTCAAATGTCTTAATACTTGATGAATATGAGCAGTTCCTTTGCACTGTATCAGCTGGATTATCTTAGTCTATTAATCAATTCTAAGTTACTTAATTCAATTAAAATAAATAAACAGGAACAAATCAGTTGACAGACAAGCAAGCAAAACTATTAAGGAACAAGTTGAGAAGAATGCAGTCGCAGAAATTAGCGCGATTTACCCAAGAATCAACAGTTGAGCTCGTTTATGTTGAAAAAATAAAAAGTCAAAAGTTGCAAAATTAGTGAATTTAATTAAATTTGTCGAGTTTTCGAAGCAAATAACTAGCTTAAAAGTTGAATTAGCAATTAATAACATTAAGAATAACAGAATGACATAGAAATTGACTGATTTTATGTCATAATTAAGGAGAAATCGAAAGTAGAACAAGTGTATCAAAATAATTGGAAAGAAAACAATGCAAAATAATTAATGGATCTGAGTAGAAGTAATAATAGAACATTATTTGATGTCATTTCTTGTGGAGATGATGTTGCTTTACAGAGATTATTATTGGAAGGAAAGGAAGAGCGGAATGTTGCAACTTTAGCTGTAAGTTTTATGCTTAAAAATTTGCCCTAATTACTGACTTCAATATCCAATAATAAATTTGTTTACAGCACGGAAATACACTTTTACATGAAGCAGCTTGGAAAGGCTATAGTCGATGTGTAAAGCTATTGTGTAATGTATATCCAAAGGATATTGACGACAATAGTAACAAAGAGAAGCTTAATAAGAAGAAACAGCAGTTTATTAATCGTCCAAACTTTTGTGGATTTACAGCACTTCATTTAGCCAGTCAAAATGGACACAATCAGAGTACAAGAGAATTGTTATATGCTGGATGTTCAACAACAATTCAAAATGATTATGGAGATTCTCCACTTCATACATCAGTTCGGTATGGTCATGCAGGAGTTTTAAGGATCCTCATATCTGCAAAATGTGATATTGATGCTTTTAATCATAATCATGACACTCCACTACACATAAGTGCTGCAATTGGACGTAGAAAGTTAACAAAGCTACTGGTTGAAGCCGGTGCTATGCAGTTCCGAAATAATCAAAATGAAACGCCTCGCGATATCGCCAAACGAAAGAATTTTCAAGAGATTTTAGAAATCATCGATACTCAGCCAGATAAAATTGATAAGAAATTAATTCGTGATAGTTTAAGGAAAAGTAAATCCAGTACGAATCATCAATGCTTGCCACATAATATTAGTAATGACAAAAGTAACTATAAGCTTAAAAATAATAATAGTAATAATGATAAAGATCTTCCAACTCAACTTACATCGCCTTATGGATGTCATTATTATCCAGATCCACGAAAATTTCCATCTCCTAAATTACAAACTTTACCGAAAGAGCCTTTACAAGTTGGTGAAATTTATTACCTAGATCTAGCTGGAAATATTCGAAAAGGAGCTTTAGGAATCAATCGATGTAGTTGTGCACCATATTCAAAAGAAGCCATGATTGAACATTGTAAGAACATCCAGAAGTATGTCGATAAAGCAAATGACAAGCTTAATAAGAAAATTGTTGAGCTTACGACAAAAATTGAAAAGACTGATCGAAAGTATCATCAGCGTGAAAAGAGTAAAGATCGAGATAAAGATCCATTATATCCATTACTTAAAATTGTTGGAGATAAGAATAAACAAATTCATTTAGAGAAATGGCTGACAAAAGTCTATCCAGAAGCAAGATCTGATTTACAAAGTCCACAAAGTAGTGAATTTGTCACAAAAGAGATTCCAGTTGATGTCCATCGATCTGATCATCAATCATCCGAGAGTCAAAGGGCAGGACGTCGTGAAACAATTAAAGTTCTTAGAGCTAGTTCAAGAAGACATGATGACATTAAGAGCCAAAATACAATTGATGCTGAATTAGAAAATGATGATAGCTATACAGACATCAGTAATGACGATGATGATGGATCAATGAGCAATAATGATAATCCATTGTATGACGAAGCATTTATGAGAAAGTTTCAACAGCAACAGCAATTTACTACATATGCAAACGACTCTGTAACGTCACCGAGCATTAATAGCAATCAAAATATTGAAATGGAAATGGAGAAAATTGCCAAATCACTTCTGGCAAGCGAAGAAGATGTTATGATAAGTTCGCATAATCCTGATGTCATTAAAGATCATGTGAATGTCTCACACAGTGCCAAAAGAAGTACAAAGAAAATAAAAAGTGCCATCACAAAGCCAACTTCTGTATTATCATCAGGAGACTTGTATGTCAATAGTTTCTTTAATCATGATGGAAGTGATGGACATAGAAATAGATATCAATATTCACCGTCTGATATTGACGAAGTTGATTCGTGTGAGATCGATCGACTTGTCTCAAAAGTTCAAGAAACTATTTTAAGCTCTAACTATACATCTGATCAATATTCGCATCATGACATAAATGGCAATGAGAATCAAATTTTATGGAATCGTGGTGTGGGACGTTCTAGAAATGCCATCGCTATTAATACGGAACTAACGTATGATATTGAAAACTATGCTGACAATTTATTCAAAACTCAACCGGACGAAGAGAATGGAGACTTAAAGGTACAAAATAACATCAGTGACAATAACTTTATATTGCTGGACAAGCTACTTAAAGCTAGAAAGCAATTAAATCAAACTTATCATCAACATTTACATTCCATGAGCAATAATAACAATAGTACTGATGAAAATGGAAATTCTAATAATACTAATAACTACATTCCCAGTTCTTCCTTAGTCTAAGCCTTACTTACACGTTTTTACATTATTTATACGAATATATTTTTTTTTTGAGATTTTTATATTTTTATTAATAAATCCATAATTAATTAATTAATTCTCTAATGAATTGGATACTTCGTCTGTAAATTCCTTCTTTTCAGCCTCACTATTGAATGTTCCAATGATCTTTCTTAATACATTATTGTTATAATTAAGCACAAACTTTTTACATTGTCTGATTGTTGCTCCTACATAAAGAATCTTCAATTGAGCCAATTCTTTTCCAGCCTTATTGATTAATGGTAATATGCTTGTAATAAATCTATGTGGACCATGAGATGCTCGAACTATAGCCAATTTTCGTCTATCGTAGAATAACTTTACATTTAAATTGCTGACTGAAGCTAATCCAAAATCTCCATAATGTTTATGTGCTGCTTTTCTAAGTGTATCTGCTAGTTCTGCAGCTGTCAGTTTTAGATTCTTCTCAGATTTGACTTGAATAAGGATATATCTAAAAATGACATTAATTAATGCTAGTTTTCTATTAAAATTCATTGAATTGTTTTTTCACCTATTTTTGAAGCGAACCATGCTGTATTTGTAAACAAAAGAGACGGCTAGTGTCACACCGTTCTACACGAAATGAATTATTGAGGCTTTTCAGCCTGTAAAGTATTTAATTTAAATAATTATTATAAACTTTAAAAATATTGAATTTTTGTTCAAAATAGTAAACAAAAATATAACGCTTTGAACTTAATCCAGTTTTAAATCGATCAATCAGACTAAGCAAGTAATTAAATCCAACAGAAGTCAAGTAAAACGGTGAGAATATAAAAGAAACTTATTTCATCCCTATTAATAACGTGAAGTTGTGTATGTAAGTATTAAATTCACATGCTTAGAAATAAACAATGCCTCCAAAGAGGAATATTAAGCCTAATAAGTCAAAACCACCTCAATTGCTTCAAGTTAATAGTGAAAATAACACAGCTGAGTCTATAGAATTAGAATTAAAGTTTGATCAGGAAATTCTTTGGTGTATAACACAATTTGAGAAATTGATCAGTTCCGGAAAACTCAATGATGCTAAAAGTAAGTAGTAATGACTGAATATTAAGGAATACTGGAAGTGACACAAGCTAATATTAATAAAATCCACAGAACACGAAAGTATAAAGGCAATTAATATTCTGAGAAAGCCGAACGTCACTAAAATAGAAAAGATACAGTTAATGAAGAGTTACTTTAAGGATTACAAAGCAAAAATGGCAAAGGATGAAGAGGAGGTCAAGAAAAGTGCAAATCTCAGTTTTGAAGTTGATAGTGAGTCTAAATCAGCTGGAAAGTTCTTGAAAAGGAAGATTGAGCAAAGCAGTAATCAGCCTGAATCTACAGGATTTTTGTTTAATTTTAATGTTAATGACAATGCAAGTACCTTAGGCGATGAAATAAAGAAATTAAGTTTAAGCTAATTGAAGACTTGAATTTTGAATGTGTGAGACTCTAAATTGATGTATGTACCAGTTCCATATACATAGACATAATGCACAAAAAAGTTTATGTATGTGCCAATAAGTAGCTAATATAATGGTATGCTTATCTCCAAGACAATCAAAAATATTTGAGTAGCAAATTAAATGTGAATTAACAGTATTGATAAGATTAACTTGCTGACCGTGCCTGTCAATTAGTTTAAAGAGAGCATTTGAGTAGACAGGAACGAAATGTACTTCATTGGTGTAAATTATAAACATAATTTAATTATCATTCAAGCTTTACGTCAATATTTTTGATTTAGGTTGACGTTGGAACTTCCTCGGTACGAGCAGGACTTGTCAAAAAAGTCGAGAATGGTGGTGGAAAGTTGATAAAGTATCATGCAGAACCAATAACGATTTTTAAGCCAAAAACAAGCTATTTTGAACAATCATCAAAAAACATATGGGACAAGGTCTGTGAATGTGTCAAGAATGTCACGGCCGATATAATTGACAAATCTGAAATCAAGGGAATTGGTTTCGATGCTACATGCTCATTAGTACTATTAGACAAGCATAATGAGCCATTGTCTGCAAGTCCTACAAATAATAATGATCAGAACATTATAATGTGGCTAGATCATAGAGCAGAAAAGGAAGCGGACTTTATTAATTCTCTTGGACATGATTGCTTAAAATACGTTGGTGGAAAAGTCTCATTAGAAATGGAAATACCAAAACTTTTATGGCTTAAAAGGAACATGCTCGATTCATACAATAATATCCATTATGCATTTGACTTGCCTGACTTTCTCACATTTAAAGCTACTGGAAAGACTTCAAGGTCAATTTGTTCACTGACGTGTAAATGGAACTACGATGCAGTTAAAGGACAATTTCCACAAGATTATTTTGAATCAATTGGATTAAAGGAGCTGACAGAAGACAATTATTCAAAAATTGGCAATGACATTCTGTTTCCTGGTGATTTTGTAGGCAAATTAAGCAATGAAGCTGCAAATGACATGAATTTAATTAATGGAATATCCGTTGCAACTTCCATAATTGATGCTCATGCTGGGGGACTCGGATTAATTGGATCAACGACTAATAAATTAAGTGACGTAGATTTGACATCAAAATTAGTTTTAATAGCTGGAACGTCATCATGTCACATGTCAATTACTGAGAATATTCTTTTTACAAAAGGTGTATGGGGTCCATATAAGAATGCTCTCATTCCTAACTACTTCCTCTCAGAAGGTGGTCAATCTGCGTCTGGGGTGTTGATTGACTACATTTTAAGTACTCATCCTGACTATCAAAAGACATTAAACGACTTGAATGGACAAAACATTCATGATTATCTTTATGATGAAATTTTAAAGCTATCGACTTCAGCTAGCTTAAAGACATTCCATGAACTGACTAAAGATTTTCACATTTATCCTGACTTTCACGGAAATCGAAGCCCTGTAGCTGACAGCACATTAACGGGAATGATTTGTGGCCTTACTATGCACAATTCAATATTTATTACTTATTTGGCAATGATTCAAGCATTATCGTACAGCACTAAGCACATCATTGAATCCCTTTATAAAGCTGGTCGTAATGAATTTAAATCAATTCTAATTTGTGGTGGGCTCTCAAAAAATAAACTTTTTATACAAACAACAGCAGATGTTTGCAGCATTCCAGTTTTAATATCCAATGAGCCTGAGAGTGTCTTATTAGGTGCTGCAATTTTGGGTGCTACTGCCAGTAAAATATTCCCTAACTTAAAAACTGCTATTAATGAATTAAAAAATGATGCTTATCAGATTGAAGCTGACGTAAATTCATTTGATTATCATTCTCGAAAGTATCGCGTATTCCTGAAAATGCTTGATGATCAGCAATCCTATAAAAATATTATGAATGGAACTTAAGGGTGATTATATTTGTTTTGGAGGCATTTTATTGAACTTTATTTAATTTATTTTTATTACTCTTGATAAGATTATGGATTAATAGGTATTTGAGTTGTGCAATTGATTGACTTGTTAAGTTTTTGTCAAGCATATAACTTTTTAACGGATTTGAAATGTTTGAATCTAACGATTTTGAAAATTTCTTTTGTAAGGTTTTGAAGTTTTAATTGCTGTTGCACGGCTCTCGAACAATAAAAACACCAAGGCGTGGACACTCAAAAATACGCTGGGATTATTCAGGATTATTGGAGAAAAAATTATTCAAATATTTTGAATTTTTTGAGGAAATGAACCGAAAGAAATATGTTTTTAAAGCCATTGTGACTTGTAAAGTTTAAACAATGTGAAAATATATCATTTTGAAGTGTTTGTCGAGTACCAAAATATAAATTCGATCATATAAAATAATTTTTCATAGAATTTTAACTGATTTATTTAAACAATCGGTTTCTGGAATAGGATTAGACATTAACTCAGAGTTTTTAGTTGTATTTACTAGTGTCCCAAGTAATGTCCATTTTACAACATCAGTCTACGGAAATTTTTGGCTTTATTACTAGTTTTGTTGGAGTTTGATGATTACTGTGCTAAGGTAGTAAGAAAAAATTCAGGTTGGGTAGTCAAAATTTTAGCTTTCGATTTTTTTTAAGCTATGCATTAAAAAAAATAATATTGGTGTGTGATTTATGTCAGAATTATGTCAATTCAAATAATACATCCAAAAAAATTTTCTGACCTAAGTACACCATAGAAAATCAATTTTCAATTTTGGACTATGGACGACCCTAGTCAAAATCAATTTAGTCACTTTTTTCTTCGAGGGTTTATCCAAATAGATTGAAACTTTGCATAAATTTTCTAGTGCTTAAAACAAATACAAATAAAACATCCTAAAATTTTTTTGAGCAAAAAACCAAGTAGGAAATACATATTCAATTTTGGACTATAGATGACCCTAGTAAAATCAATATTGTCACTTTTTGTTCGTCTTCGAGGGTTTATCCAAATGGATTGAAACTTTGCATAAATATTCTAGTGCTTAAAACAAATACAAATAAAATATTCTAAAATTTTTTTGACCAAAGAACCAAGTAGGAAATACATTTTCAATTTTGGACTAGGGGCGACCCTAGTAAAATCAATTTTGTCACTTTTTTCTTCGAGGGTTTATCCAAATAGATTGAAACTTTGCATAAATATTCTAATGCTTAAAACAAATACAAATAAAATATTCTAAAATTTTTTTGACCAAAGAACCAAGTAGGAAATACATTTTCAATTTTGGACTAGGGGCGACCCTAGTAAAATCAATTTTGTCACTTTTTTCTTCGAGGGTTTATCCAAATGGATTGAAACTTTGCATAAATATTCAAATGCTTAAAACAAATACAAATAAAATATTCTAAAATTTTTTTGAGCAAAGAACCAAGTAGAAAATACATTTTCAATTTTGGACTAGGGGCGACCCTAGTCAAAATCAATTTTGTCACTTTTTTCTTCGAGGGTTTATCCAAATAGATTGAAACTTTGCATAAATATTCTGGTGCTTAAAACAAATACAAATAAAACATCCTAAAATTTTTTTGAGCAAAGAACCAAGTAGGAAATACATTTTCAATTTTGGACTAGGGGCGACCCTAGTAAAATCAATTTTGTCACTTTTTCTTCGAGGGTTTATCCAAATGGATTGAAACTTTGCATAAATATTCTAGTGCTTAAAACAAATACAAATAAAACATCCTAAAATTTTTTTGAGCAAAGAACCAAGTAGGAAATACATTTTCAATTTTGGACTAGGGGCGACCCTAGTAAAATCAATTTTGTCACTTTTTTCTTCGAGGGTTTATCCAAATAGATTGAAACTTTGCATAAATATTCTAGTGCTTAAAACAAATACAAATAAAACATTCAAAAATTTTTTGAGCAAAGAATCAAGTAGGAAATACATTTTTAATTTTGGACTAGGGGCGACCCTAGTAAAATCAATTTTGTCACTTTTTTCTTCGAGGGTTTATCCAAATGGATTAAAACTTTGCATAAATATTCTAATGCTTAAAACAAATACAAATAAAATATTCTAAAATTTTTTTGACCAAAGAACCAAGTAGGAAATACATTTTCAATTTTGGACTAGGGGCGACCCTAGTAAAATCAATTTTGTCACTTTTTTCTTCGAGGGTTTATCCAAATAGATTGAAACTTTGCATAAATATTTAAATGCTTAAAACAAATACAAATAAAACATCCTAAAATTTTTTTGAGCAAAGAACCAAGTAGGAAATACATTTTCAATTTTGGACTAGGGGCGACCCTAGTAAAATCAATTTTGTCACTTTTTTCTTCGAGGGTTTATCCAAATAGATTGAAACTTTGCATAAATATTCTAATGCTTAAAACAAATACAAATAAAACATCCTAAAATTCTTTTGAGCAAAGAACCAAGTAGGAAATACATTTTCAATTTTGGACTAGGGGCGACCCTAGTAAAATCAATTTTGTCACTTTTTTCTTCGAGGGTTTATCCAAATAGATTGAAACTTTGCATAAATATTCTAGTGCTTAAAACAAATACAAATAAAACATCCTAAAATTTTTTTGAGCAAAGAATCAAGTAGGAAATACATTTTCAATTTTGGACTAGGGGCGACCCTAGTAAAATCAATTTTGTCACTTTTTTTTCGAGGGCTTATCCAAATGGATTGAAACTTTGCATAAATATTCTAGTGCTTAAAACAAATACAAATAAAATATTCTAAAATTTTTTTGACCAAAGAACCAAGTAGGAAATACATTTTCAATTTTGGACTAGGGGCGACCCTAGTCAAAATCAATTTTGTCACTTTTTTCTTTGAGGGTTTATCTAAATGTATTAAAACTTTGCATAAATATTCTAGTGCTTAAAACAAATACAAATAAAATATCTTAAAATTTTTTCGAGCAAAGAACCAAGAAGGAAATATATTTTCAATTTTGGACTAGGGGCGACCCTAGTAAAATCAATTTTGTCACTTTTTTCTTCGAGGGTTTATCCAAATGGATTCAAACTTTGCATAAATATTCTAGTGCTTAAAACAAATACAAATAAAATATCTTAAAATTTTTTCGAGCAAAGAACCAAGAAGGAAATATATTTTCAATTTTGGACTAGGGGCGACCCTAGTAAAATCAATTTTGTCACTTTTTTCTTTGAGGGTTTATCCAAATGGATTGAAACTTTGCATAAATATTCTAATGCTTAAAACAAATACAAATAAAACATCCTAAAATTTTTTTGAGCAAAGAACCAAGTAGAAAATACATTTTCAATTTTGGACTAGGGGCGACCCTAGTCAAAATCAATATTGTCACTTTTTTCTTCGAGGGTTTATCCAAATGGATTGAAACTTTGCATAAATATTCTAGTGCTTAAAACAAATACAAATAAAATATCTTAAAATTTTTTCGAGCAAAGAACCAAGAAGGAAATATATTTTCAATTTTGGACTAGGGGCGACCCTAGTAAAATCAATTTTGTCACTTTTTTCTTCGAGGGTTTATCCAAATAGATTGAAACTTTGCATAAATATTCTAATGCTTAAAACAAATACAAATAAAATATTCTAAAATTTTTTTGACCAAAGAACCAAGTAGGAAATACATTTTCAATTTTGGACTAGGGGCGACCCTAGTAAAATCAATTTTGTCACTTTTTTCTTTGAGGGTTTATCCAAATGGATTGAAACTTTGCATAAATATTCTAATGCTTAAAACAAATACAAATAAAATATTCTAAAATTTTTTTGACCGAAGAACCAAGTAGGAAATACATTTTCAATTTTGGACTAGGGGCGACCCTAGTAAAATCAATTTTGACACTTTTTTCTTCGAGGGTTTATCCAAATGGATTCAAACTTTGCATAAATATTCTGGTGCTTAAAACAAATACAAATAAAACATCCTAAAATTTTTTTGAGCAAAAAACCAAGTAGGAAATACATATTCAATTTTGGACTATAGATGACCCTATTAAAATCAATATTGTCACTTTTTGTTCGTCTTCGAGGGTTTATCCAAATGGATTGAAACTTTGCATAAATATTCTAGTGCTTAAAACAAATACAAATAAAATATTCTAAAATTTTTTTGACCAAAGAACCAAGTAGGAAATACATTTTCAATTTTGGACTAGGGGCGACCCTAGTAAAATCAATTTTGTCACTTTTTTCTTCGAGGGTTTATCCAAATGGATTAAAACTTTGCATAAATATTCTAGTGCTTAAAACAAATACAAATAAAATATCTTAAAATTTTTTCGAGCAAAGAACCAAGAAGGAAATATATTTTCAATTTTGGACTAGGGGCGACCCTAGTAAAATCAATTTTGTCACTTTTTTCTTCGAGGGTTTATCCAAATAGATTGAAACTTTGCATAAATATTCTAATGCTTAAAACAAATACAAATAAAATATTCTAAAATTTTTTTGACCAAAGAACCAAGTAGGAAATACATTTTCAATTTTGGACTAGGGGCGACCCTAGTAAAATCAATTTTGTCACTTTTTTCTTCGAGGGTTTATCCAAATGGATTCAAACTTTGCATAAATATTCTAATGCTTAAAACAAATACAAATAAAATATTCTAAAATTTTTTTGACCGAAGAACCAAGTAGGAAATACATTTTCAATTTTGGACTAGGGGCGACCCTAGTAAAATCAATTTTGTCACTTTTTTCTTCGAGGGTTTATCCAAATGGATTGAAACTTTGCATAAATATTCTGGTGCTTAAAACAAATACAAATAAAACATCCTAAAATTTTTTTGAGCAAAGAACCAAGTAGGAAATACATTTTCAATTTTGGACTAGGGGCGACCCTAGTAAAATCAATTTTGTCACTTTTTTCTTCGAGGGTTTATCCAAATAGATTGAAACTTTGCATAAATATTTTAATGCTTAAAACAAATACAAATAAAACATCCTAAAATTTTTTTGAGCAAAGAACCAAGTAGGAAATACATTTTCAAATTTGGACTAGGGGCGACCCTAGTAAAATCAATTTTGTCACTTTTTTCTTCGAGGGTTTATCCAAATAGATTGAAACTTTGCATAAATATTCTAATGCTTAAAACAAATACAAATAAAATATTCTAAAATTTTTTTGACCAAAGAACCAAGTAGGAAATACATTTTCAATTTTGGACTAGGGGCGACCCTAGTAAAATCAATTTTGTCACTTTTTTCTTCGAGGGTTTATCCAAATAGATTGAAACTTT